AGACCGTTACAGTACTGCATATTTACGACTGCGAGAAACATCTAGGAGGCTTTTCCTAGCCTGTACTCCAGGCCTGTTGTGAGTAGCTCGATGTATATGTATTCCTTCCCCTCCGCAGTTGCGACGCGGGCTCGTTTATCTTCTCCCCGCCCCCCTCTCCCGGGTTGAATCACTCGGCTGAGACAGCTCGTTGGCCGACCTCCGGAGGTCGACCTCGAGCGAGCCTCGACCCTGTGATTTGGCGGCCCGACGTGCGGGTTTCCGGTTTGAGTTTAGTCTTTCGACCGAATCCCGCATTCAGGGTCCGCTGTCCTGTTTACCATACCACCCGGTGTGAGTGGGTTGTTGCCCGTTGGTAACATTTGCGGTGGGTTTCAATGAGACACCAAGCGAACAATTCTGCCCGCAAACGTCGACAGACGCCATGGGCACCAGACGAGTCCGGCTAACTAAACACGGATAATCCCACTGTGGGGTTCCCACAGCTCGTTTAAATTTAGCTATTTCATTTTCAGCCCTTTTACGGTGAGCAGGTCGCACCTGCGTAAGTTGTCTACAGGTTTAGGTCCGCTCGCCCAGGGGCTCCCAATTTTGGAGCGCGCATATGATGCCATATATTGAGGCTTTGGGTAAAGCAGGTGCCCAACACTCAGTTCACTACGAAAAATATTTCATTCACCAAAACATTCTCTTACAATGCTTGGACTATTGGGGCACCTACGAGCGTCCGAGCGAAGTCTCGGTGACCGGTGAGAGGTTGCTCCTGTAGCGTCTGCCGGCTCAAACCCCGGAATAACTGGTGGCAACTCAACCCCTCCGCCCCTTGAAGATGGGGTCTCAAATAGGTTGTGTGAGTTAGGCATCAGAAGATGGGATATGAGAGGCTACACAGAGAAATGTAGGGTCATAACCCGTAACGACGCCAAAAGACTTAGCAATTAATGCCTCATGGAAAAAGGGTGCAATGAACGGGGCTGATCGTGCACGTGTCACAACCGGCGTCACGATATTGCGCGCGTGAAGAACACAAGACCCTCAGAGGAGCCCTTGAAGTGGGGAGTCGACACATAGCCGCTCCTAGTATGGGTCGGGTCCTACACTGCAGACCACCCCCTCCCCGAATAAGGGTCGGAGGGCGGGAAAAAAAATTTACTCAGGAAGGTATCCCGCTCTGACTAAAGAGCGTCTGGACGAGTCTCTCAGTCGACAAGTGGATGTCAGTTCAATGCGCATCAAAACCGCATATACCGTCCGCATCAAAGGAACATCCCCAACCTGAGCCTGGGCGCTGACATAGGTTTCCCCCGAGGGAGTCACCCAAACCGGTAGAAATTGTGAACCATTGACAGTATCGAGCACGTGCAAGATGCAGTTGTCGCCTTGCATGCTGCTGCTATCTGATACCTGCCCTATGATATCGATGCCTTCGCCCACCCTTCCCAGAACATACTCTCCATGATTCACGGAGGATAGAGGAAAAACCGCCTCGAGAGCCAATTGCGGGCGCGCTCTATCCACAATCACGCTTCTTGCCTCGAGATGATTCGCCGAAACGGCTACCGATCTGTCCTCCGGGGCACCTAGTGGGCGCAGCCTTGTAGAGAAACCAACCATGTTGCCGAGGTAGGCATAGGGTCCCTGCTCAACATTGACGCCCGATACCAGGACAACATGCCCTTCGATTGGCCGTGCTCCAGGGCGCCGCCAGACGACTAGCTCTCCGTCTTTCACGGGCTTGCCGGAACGCGAGGCTAGAGCCCTAACATTGTCTCGTATGTGAGACTGCACGACGACGAAACGGGTGGCGTCGATTGCATCCTTGATGATCTTGTTGAGTTGGATAGTGGCGTCGGACGACTCGGCTGTGGCGGACATGTCGTCCAACGTGGGTCCTCGGCTCAACAGGGAGTGGAGAACCGCGTCCGCTGGTGTGCGGGGCTGAGTACCGAACATAAGCTCAGCCGCTGAGTAACCGGCAGCCCGCTTGTTGGTATTTATGATGAGTTGGACATGGGGTAGCGATAAGTCCCAAGCTATCCCCAAGGTAGGTACCAATCGCTTCACTCTACCGACCCGTGCTTCGCTGCTACCATTGCTCCAAGGCGACCATGGGGGGGAAGGCAAGAAGCGGACTCCGAGAGACAATAACGATGACCTCAAAGCCGGGGCATCCAGAAAATTATCACCCGCGAGGCCCAAAGGTACCCCGTATACACTAACCCAGGCGTCGAAGAAAGTTTTCACCGTAGCTCTGCCGTCCACGGCTTCGACGGATCTTATCATGGTGAAGCCCGTAGCAACATCGGTGATGATGAGGAAGGCCTTCATTTTTGGATTTGCGGCTGGGATCCATCCAGGCGCAGCAGCCGGATAGCCATGGTCTAGGGAGACGAACTTGCCCCGCAGCTCAAGGTTGATGAGCCCCCGAGGTACCCGCGGTGCTGTGACCAGCTTCCGCCTTTCCGCCGCTTTTTCGTCCATACAGGAGTCACAGTGACCGATCCACCTTTGGCAGTCCTTGGATATAGTTGGCCACCATCCCTTAGTGAGTATGAATGATCGCATCGGGTGGAAGCTGGCGTGTATCTGTAGTTCATGACCGCAAAACATGAACCACGATCGCACGTCCCAGTCTCCCTGTACGTTGATGCTGATCAGCTCGTCCAAGCCGGCGATCTTTCCTGTAGGTAGGACCGGGACCCGAACCTGACCCTTCTCCTTAACGTCCACCACCACGTAAAGAAGGTTGTCAGTCCATGCCACCACTCCAATCTCGACCGCCTCCTGCGCAATACGCGAGACTGGGACGTCGTGTATGAAGTGTGAGCACCAATCCTTCAAAGTAGTACCGTGAACCCTCGTGATGTCATCGGCCGCCTGCAAGCTACTGAGTTTCTCGTAGACGCCACCCTCGCATAAAGCCGAAGCGAGTTCTTCAGCATCTGTGCGAGGAGCTCCGTCAGTACTGTTGCCACCATCCTGATCCCTGGTGACAAGTACCAATGGTGTACCCCCTCCGTCTTGTAGGTATCGTGTACCTCCATCCAGGAGCCTGGTGAGTAAGTCGCTCAATCCATTGAGCTTTCCACCGACATGGCGATAACAGACTTCATTCTCATCAAACTCCAGTACTTGTGATAACCACGATATCCATCTCTTGTGCTGTCGAGAGGTAGGTTGGATACGAGAGTCATCGATGCGGGATTTTAGTTTCCCGAGCGCACTAGTCGAGTCGGAGAACACCACGATACGGCCATCTTCCACCGTATCTTCACCTCGTTGTTTGGGATGGTACATGATGTAGGAGAGTAGCAAAGTCTTCCACTCAGTGAGTGCCTGACAGATGGAGAATAGTTCTCGATCTGCAATATCCCAATTAAGCTCTGCCCCTGACCATTTGTGTGACCAGAAGGCGATGATGTTAGCATTTTCCGCCAACCAGGTCGCCGACATATTCTCTCCACAGGACAGATATACACCGCGTGAGAGTCGGTATAGTACGGCCGCCCCCGCTTTCGGCGAAGCGTCAGCCATAATAATGAATTGCCAGCCAGGGGCTTCTGCCGCATACGCATGGTAATGTATGAATCCGTCTCCCATATGAGATATTATATCTTGCCACTTAGCTGAGAGCTCATCATTCCATGGCAGCTTAGCACCCTTTCTCGCTCCAGATGACACCATCCGACCTACCATGTCGGTGAAAGGAGCGGTCAAGTCACTGAGCGAACGGCTCGCTAATACCGGGCTTGTGACCCAGAGTGCACGACAAAATGTCATCAGCCCGAGCTTGGTCCGTAATCCCCTCAAGGTCCTAGGGACGGAAGATAGAGCCTCCTTCAGAGCTTGGAGCGATTTATCAGCGATAGAGAAACCATCTTGACGAAGCTTGAGGCCGAGGAAGTCGATCTCCTTCGCTGGCCCTTTCTGCTTGGCAATTGGCGCTTCTGCTCCAGCCTTCTTCAGGATGTAGGTAACCGCCTCCTTCAGCTGACAGCATTCTTCTTCAGACCTAGACCATATGAGAATATCGTCCACGTAGATCCCTATCTGGGATGACTGTCCTCCAGGATCATAGTACTCAGGAATGGCCTTCCTCAAAAGACAATGCAACGCATGCGACCAAATGAAGCTGGCCCCTTTGTAGCCCATGACCAATTTTTGGAAAACTCCGTATGCGATGGTGCCATCCTCAGTATAGTACGAGAATCCGAAGAACACCTCGCTGTGTGCCGACAAGTCGATATTATAGAAGGCCGATTTCACATCCACGCTGGAGAAGTAGACAGGACCAGAGGGTATCTCGGCGATGCAATCTTGGACTTTCGCTTTATATCCCTTCCATGAGTTCGGAAGATCTTCGACTCCATCATTGGTGGCGCGACAGTCGATGACCATTCGATAGAACTTCTCCACGTTAGCAGATGTGATTTCCGCTGGGATGTCCTCCGTGTCTTTGGGGACCACAAAGGACGGGTTGACCCAAATGCTGCGAGAATCTATCTCCGCTTTTGTCACAGTGCGGATGATTCCCGAAGCTAATAAACGTTCCACAATGAGGCCTAGTGCAACTCTATCCTTCGCTTTCGCGACATACGGTCTCTTAGGGAAAGGACGCGTTGCCGACCCTTTAGCCTCGACCCTGACTTGAGAGAAACGCCAGTCTCTCAGGCGATTATCGATCGTTGTTGTAGATGGAACCGAGAGCTTCTTCTGCACTTGTGGGGCCGCCAGAACCCGTCCCGGATCGGTGTCGTCATCAGCTTCCGGAAGACCGTGCAATGGGAGTTTCGTGCCGAGGTCACCACAGTCCATGAAGTCACCGTCTGGAGTCCCCAGCAATATATTTGCTCTCATGTTACGCATAGTATTGATTCCCAGAAGGAGTCCTCGATCTGGAAGAGCGCTAGCCAAGTCGGAGGCGACGTGGGCTTTCACGGAGAACTCCCAAGGAATGCCGTCCACGTCCGTGACTGTAAGTGGGACGACAGTTGTGGCTGCGACTGAGACCGTAGAGTCGATGCCTGCTGTCGAGAGTACCAACGGATTGGCGAGGGTCTCAGCTCTCAGACCAAGACTTTTCACATACCTCTCCTTGATCAGGGAGTAGTCTGAGCCAGTATCCGGTAACAGAAATGTGGGGGAGGTATAAGAAGGACCAGTGATGACCGCTCGCACGGCTTTCAGCCCCCCCTGTACTGAAGCCACGAAGACCTTACCGGTAGAGACCGCTTTCGATGGGAACGTCGTAGAAGAGGAAGTAGGTGCTGCCTCTGATTCTCTAGGCTTGAATCCGGGAGGACGCTTCTCCTTGTTGATGGGGTTCTCCCAGCACTCCTCATCATTGTGCCGGTTTGCCTTCCGGTAGCCCTTGCTTTGACAGAACTTGCAGAGCTTGGGCTGCCGTTCCCGTTCGGAAAGAGACTCCTTGCTCCCCGTTCCGCCGGACTGGGGTCGGGCTAGGGCCTCGGAGCTTCTTGACGGAGTAGTAGATGGTCCTTGTGCCTTGATACGAGCACCGTTGGGTGGGGAGGACTGCTTGACCGAGTGCTTCTCGTGATACGATGCCGCTTCCAAGACCTCCGAGAGCTTCATCTTGGGCAACATGTGCCCGGCTGAAGTTTGTAAGGGAGCCTTGATGGCTGGGATTAGGCCCTCCGAGAACTTGGCCGCTGCGATCGTGTCTGGTAAAGTCACTCCCGTCACCCGCGAGTAGAGCACTCGCTCACGGCTGACCCTGGAGTAATATTTTTCTACCGTCTCCTCATTCTCCTGCTTAACTGCGGACCATCTCTCCGCCGCCCCTGCAGCAGTATCCGACTTGGCGAACCGTTCATCCAGATAAGACCAGACAGCTTCGACCTTGGGCGAGTCTGGCCCCACTTCGACCATGAGCTCTGCTTTGAGCGATCCTTCCAAGTGCCGGATGAGATATACCGCCGCGTCAGAGTCTCTCTTGATGCCGTAGAATGCCGTCGCCGTCTTTATGGCCTGCTTAAAGGCCGCATATGGCATAGCGTAAGTGGGCGCCACAAATTTCGGAGTCTCTAGGGGTAACTTCAGAGCGTTGGGTTCCCGGCATGTCGTCGACGCTGTTCGCGGAGCCCCGGGCAATCCCTGAGCGGCGAACCCCGTAGGATCCGTGTTTACCAGGCACGACGCTTGACGCGCGTGTAAGAATGAGCGAACATAGTCTCTTTCGTTGCCCAAGGCCGCGCAACGTGGCAAAAGGTACTTCCTCTTGGTCGCCAGAGCCGCCGCCGCTGCTGCGAGCCACAGCGCCGCCCTCAGGTCCATACCATTCACCAATGTCCCACGTAAGACCAAGCCAAAGACCATATGAATGAATGCCCGCCGAGCAGTGTCGGCCTGCTCCACCTCATCGTCGGCCACGGTCGGTTCCATAACCGCCAGCTCGGTCGCCCGTGCCGCCAACCATGCGAACAAGGCCCCCCCTTCGAGACTGTCGATATCCTCCAATGTACCGATGAAGCCTTGAACCACCGACCTCTGGGGCGTGGATAATTCAACCTCATGGAAGGTTACAAATGGGTAGTTAACGAAGTGGCTTCCTAGATGCGTCGATGACAACCATCTTCTGATTACTGTAGCGTCTGCCGGCTCAAACCCCGGAATAACTGGTGGCAACTCAACCCCTCCGCCCCTTGAAGATGGGGTCTCAAATAGGTTGTGTGAGTTAGGCATCAGAAGATGGGATATGAGAGGCTACACAGAGAAATGTAGGGTCATAACCCGTAACGACGCCAAAAGACTTAGCAATTAATGCCTCATGGAAAAAGGGTGCAATGAACGGGGCTGATCGTGCACGTGTCACAACCGGCGTCACGATATTGCGCGCGTGAAGAACACAAGAC